TGGTTTTACTATGGTGTGTGTACTTGTATTATTTTATTTTATTTTTTATTTTTTTGTGTCTGTGAATAACTTTTCTACTAGAAATTTTGCTCTGATGTATAGAGGGCAACAGTTTTTCTGAAAGGTAGATAATTTTGTTCCTTTTCATATATAGCCAAGAATGTCGTTTTTTGACACTTAAGGTATTTTTGCATTCAAACTAGAAAAAACAAAAAGACGAAAAATATATATTTTTTTCAAATTATTACGCAACGATTTCATTATTTAAAATGTGTACGGCTTTTGTTTTCTACCATAAATATTCCTCCTACTCCTTCTTCCTATTTGGTCGGTGAGTTAGAAATTCGTTTTTAGATTTTCCGTGTTGGTCTTTTTAACAATTGATGACAACCAAAAAAACCGTAGTATGAACCGGAAAATTTATGAAAATATTGTTTATATTATTTTAAATTTTCTATTTTGTTGCTATCCATGTAAAAATATTCGTATAGACTGGAAAATTTAGACAAATAACTTGTATTTACCTTTTCTAGAAGTTGGTGGTAAAATGTTCAAAACATTTGAGCAATTTTTGAGCTATTTATATACATCATAATTTTGGGAATTTTTTAGATAACTTTTATTTGGTAGGTATTATGTGGATAAAATTATTAAACCAAATAAAAATGCTTGAAAATTTAAAAGGAGATTCATTATAAGTTTTACTTAGTAGCCAACAAATAAAAATTGAATTCAATGTAATATTTTTTGATAAGAATTTTAATATTAAATTTTAATGAAAATCATAAATATTACATACGGCCTTTCAAAATATATATAACCGAACTCTGCTCAGAATCATTTTTTGTTAGCAATAATTAATCATTGCGTACAAACGTACATTGAATTCCCCTTTTCATCCTACCCTCCCATCTTCTTACCTACAACAGTGGTCTGTCCATCTAGCGAAGTATGTCCGTCTTTTTCAATATAAATATATGTTCATTGTTTTCGTTTGATTAGCATAATATTTTGTATATTCTAAATTTATAAAAAATTATTTTATTCTTTTACTACAAAAATATATAATCTCGGATATTATAACCAAAAATAGTTAAATAATAAAAATACTATCGTGTATAATGTATGTTTCACTCTGTATACCTAGCCTACGTACAACACCGTGAACAAGCTATAGCCGCTGTTGTAAATTTATTAGGTATTGATGTTCTATTGGTTATTAATGAAATAGTTATAAATTATAGTTATATTTAAACAGTTATCTGCTTTTACTAATTTAACCATACAGTCAGTAGGTAGTCTTGCAATATACGTTTTAGTTCACGTTATTTTAAATTCCGTTTTTTTCTAGTAAACTTGCTCCGATTTTTAGGTGTAGCATCTTTTCTGTAAGCTCAAGTTGTCTAGATAGATTTTATTTTTGACGCCATTTTTTAAATAAAAGCATGTAAATAGGAAAAAGCGTAGGAAAACGTACAATTTCACGATTTCATTATTTTATAAAAATACGGACGACGTTTTCTACCAGAAAAAATGATTTAATCGAAAACACAAAACATCTTTTTATTGGCCTTTTTGATTTATTTTCTTACGGTTTCATCGCTAAACGTTTAAACCACTTTTGAGCTTTTAAGGAATTTTAATTTTTGGAAGTTTTTTTTGCTGTAATTCAATTATAAATACACGTAGAGACTTGAAATTTGGTAATAATACTTATATTGGACTTACCTAGATGTAGTAAAATTTCGAAAATTATCAGATGACTTTTTTTTTTTTTAATAAGCGTTTTAAAAACAAATTTAAATAAAAATCGCCAAAAAAAATACAGCATTTTAAATTATATATTACCGAACTGCGCTCGGAATCGTCTTTCGTCAAGGAATGGTTTATCGTTGCTTACAGATATAAATGAAATAACCTTATGTATCCTACCTTCCCAACTTCTCAACTACAATAGTGGCCGCTCCCATCCCCAGTATTAGCTCTTTTTTTTAATATTGTATCCGCTACTCCTTATATCAGTTGTAAAATATACAATGTTTTATACTAAACTACCGATTATAGAGTATAATTATCCCTTAAATTAGGTTCGGCGCCACTGCTTCAGAATACCTATTGTCACTTTCTTAAAAAACTTACTCTCACCAAGAAAATATTAAAGTTATTACACTGTGTCGTAGACAGTCAATTATTATTGAGTCTTCATGAACCCTCTACAAGTTGTTCAATGAGGCTCATTGTTCAATTGGAATAAATAATCATTTAGATCATTTAAATCGTTTAAAAAAGTAGATATTTAAAAAAAAGTAATAATAACAAAGAAAAACAATAATTTCATAGCACGTGCAAATTAAATTTGTTGTCAATTTTCTTAAACATAAAAAAGTAGGTTCAATAAAAAAAAAATTAACCAAATATATACTTGAAAAATGTGTATTTATTAATAATTCACGAAAAAAATATATAAAATACAGTTTCAAATTAAATAATACTACAATAATTAATGATAATTATGATATTAATTTTATCTATAATATATCATGTACAAAAATTGATTATTAATAATTCAATTTTTAGTTAAAATTGTAAGTGATTTCTTTTTCCAAATTAACTAAGCATGGAATTATCCTAACACATACAATTACTTAGTGTTTATAATATTATTAAAAAAAAAATAAACATAAGTATATCGATTTCGAAATCCTAGAAATAATATAAAATTAAAGTATAACTATTATTAACTTATTAAAAAAAAATTCAATTTACAAATTCTTTAAAATGCGTTTTAATAATATTGATAATAATACCCAAATAATTGAAAATAAATAAAACGTTACAAACTATTTTAAAATACAATATAACCTATACATTATTATTATTCAAATATTTTTTTTAAATGTTTTAGATTTTGAATGCGATTCTTAGCCCTATTGTGGGTTTTTTTTTATCGCTTTTTTATAAACAAATCAACTTATTGTACACAATACGTTGTCAATATTACAAATAAAACTATAATAAACAAAGGAGTTTTGAATAAAAAAAAAAATGTTCTTTGAGCATTTATGTTTTCAATGGAGATCAATATGAAAAGTCATTTAATCTCTCCTTAAAGGAACACGAAACCATTTAACTAATATTTTAGTAATTGGAGATGGCCTTAGATTTAAATTTGGTTTGGTAAATCGAAATATATAAAAAAATAAATACATGTTTAATGAAAAATTTAAAATTTTTCAAATCTCCTGCATCTCTTAAAAACCGAATTTGAATCCGAGGACATTCAGCTCGAAATACACAGTAGTTTAGGTGTCAGGCAAAATAGCATTGTTTATTATATCTACTTTTTTTAGAGAATATTCTGTATAGCTAAAATAATAAAATATTATTATGTGTCTACTTGAAATAAAAACATTTGTATTACTATTAATTTTAAAATGTATTTTTTGAAAATTTAAGGATCTCATGTAGATATAATATATAAATTCGTAATAAGGGCAATACAACATGGGTATGCATTTTCTTTGTATTAATATTTTACCATTCATTTGTATCACCTAATCATTTTTGTTAACTGATTCAGGTTCCATTGGGATCAAGTACCACTCCTGTTGACATAAAAAAGTACTTACTATCTAAACTTTCTTATTTCCTAAAAATATGTATTAGGTATATATAATATATATAGATATTATATACGTATTTAAAATTATTAATATTTAGTTTCTAATATTTGTACAAAGCTGATGTAAGTACATAAAGAAATTCGAATGATATGAATAAATATGTATTTAATAATATAAAATTAAAACTATTGTCATATTTAGAACATAATAATACATATATGTACTTAAAATTATTAATATTTAGTTTCTAATATTTGTACAAAGTTTATGTAAGTACATAAAAAATGTACCTAATGATATAAAAATAAAATTATAGTCATATTAAGAACTATAATTATTAAAATAATTATAAATTTATTGCAACGACCAGCCATGAATATCATTAACAGATATATTTTAAATAATTTGATAGTATACAAATCTAACAGTATACAATTTCTTATAGTTATATTTAAGTCTAATATAAGTGTTTTTTTAAAAATAAGTATCTAATACACAAGTTATTTAGGTATTTAAATAACGTAAACACGACCATAGTCAATGGGAAGACTACAGTAAATAAAAAAAGCATTTTAGTCCCTTCAAGTCAATTGTGCCCAGACCGTACATGTTACATCTGCTCTTGAAGAGTATACCTACTTTTAATTTTAGTATTATTACGTGTAGGACGTAAATTTATAAATTACCTTATTTTTAAAGAAAATGTATAATAAACTTAATTAAAATATTACTAAAATAAAAATAGAAAAATATTATGTCTAATTTATTTTTATATATTATACACATTAGTGTGTTTCAATCGAATAACACGATAGCCATTTCGGCCGGATAAACTTGGATCGAAACAAGAGGTTTTTTTTATAATTAAATTATTTCGCTTTTGAAGTTATGATTTAAAAAAAGTCACGATATGCTATAAACTGTTTGATACATCGAGAAAACGTAGTTTTTTGTTTTTTAATAAACCACGGATGGTTATTATCGTTGGCTATTTTTAAGACGCAAAACAATTATTTATTATTCCAAAATACTTATTAAAAAAACAAATAATAATAATATGATAATTATTAATAGGTGCTATGCAAATATTTCTATCTATTGAAGAATATGTAAATTATATTGCGCACACCGTTAGTATTAAAATTTTTGAAAATCGGCTAGAAATGTTATGAATTTTTTAGTATCGTAAAGTATTTCCGGCTGAAATATTTTATATTATCATCGTTTAGTGAAACACTACACACTGTCGCTCATTAATATTACGATTGCAGTGTTTATAGTTTGATACATGCATACAATAATTTGAAAATTTTAATTATATTTACATAAATAATAATAACACATTAAATAATGAAAATATGTATTATTATGATGTTACTAGTGTTCGCATATATGAGACAAAAACGCATTCTTATTGGACACGACTAGGCCGCACTCGTTACACATCAAAGGATTTTTACTGTTGTGAAATCTCGAGTGGCGAGTGTACAAAATGGCGTCGCAAAATATCAATCCGCATTTTTCACAAATGTATGGCACATCCATGTCAGCGCGGTTATGCACGATCCTGAACGGATCTAAAGCAGGATGTTGCGGCAGACGGGACGGGGTCAAATCCAGAGGAACATTGTCAGCAACCACGAGAACCTTTGAGGGCTGGAAATATGCGTCCGGATTTGTGTACACCTGACGCTTCTTGAGCGGTAGCCGCAGCTTCATCACGGGGTCCATGGCGGCTGAGTCAAAATCGCGGTTGGACGGTGCGACCGCGCGGTCCTGCGAAGACGACGGCTGTGCGACCGCGCGGTCCTGCGAAAACGACGGCTGTACGACCGTTCGGCTCTCCGAAGACGACGATGATGTAACCGCGTGATTCTCCGAAGACGACGGTGATGTCGCCGCGTGATTCTCCGAAGACGACGGCGGTGCGGAAAGCGGAGAGTTTATATCCAACAACCGCTGAATCGAAAAAGGAAGATAGTTAACTATGCCGTCGCCGGCGTTGCGGGCCCGCGTAGACGACACTTCGCCCGTCGTCTGGCACTGTTGTTCTTGTCTCTGTTTTTGTTCGGCTTGTTGTTTTCCTTGGTCACCCCGTTCATTTTCACTTCGATTTTCTCGTGATGGCTTCGGTCGATTCCGCAGTAAAAACGTAAATGTATGTCTCGACGTATAGTTACAGTCGAGGCACAAAAACCGAAACTTAATCGTTCTTATGTTTTCAAGGCTAATAGGGCGTTTAATACACGGCGAACTGCATATCGGGCACATGTACGTCGGGGCGGTTCTCATGGTGTTCGGCAGCGGGAGCTGTTCTCCGTTTATTTGCCGGCGACGTGAATTTAGGAGGAGCCTCGGTCGGTTATTCATCGGGCGGCTTTCTGCGGCGACGAAACTAGAAAAAAAAAAAAATACATAATATTTTATACCTATGATACACGTGTATACGTTATAACGAAAACGCAATGTAATATATAATATTTATTTAATATAGTTGCATTACATTTCACGCATCGACAAAACGTAACATGCGATAATAGCTTTATAAAAGAAAATGTGTTTGCGCGCGACGTAGTAAGTGCCTAACGATATTAATGTCAAACCGCGGACCAACGGCGCGCGCGGTCAGAGGTTATCGCCGCGTGCACGATCAAAAAAAGATACGAAAATAAAATTTTTTTTAATGTCAATATGCCATATTGTTTTATAGGTTTTTTTTTTTTTTTTAATGTACTTCATTATCAGCGCTGTATCGTATTAATAACTAGAAGAAGAATAAAAATTTAAGAAATTATTGCATTGGGTTTTTTCGTTTACATTTTTATTTAGATATGTTGTATAATATTAACAGGAACGCTCGGGGTTTCGATTACTCGGCTCGTATCATTTCGGTAGATACGGCCGTGTGTGATAGGACGAGGTTTTTTTTTTATACAGCAGTTGGACCGCTGCATTAGGCGGTTATAAATACTTTTAGAAACGGAATTTCTAACGCCGTACGTCCGATGTCGGGATATTGTATTTTTTAGACACAGTACTATATAATACGCTTGATTAATACTTCCGGCATTCACTTCTTATCAGACAATTTAATAATATAATTGTTTAGATCCAAACAATTTAATCGTACAATTAAAAACACACGAAATATAATTTCGAACGCTCGTACAATATTAAAATATGAGTATTTAAATCCTAAGATTTCACTACAATTAAATAAGAGATATTCAAATGAGATTTTTCGCAATACAAAAGTATATAAATACTTAAAATGTAGAATATTAGAATATAGCAATTTTTAAGTTACCTCAATTGCGTTACATTAATTGTGTGTGCATTTTCATTTGTTTGAATCCAATCGTACTTGATAAGGATTTTGATCAGATAATATTATAACGTCACACTATTCGCGCGTATAATATGTTATCATACATGTTTGTACGCGAGCTCAAAGCGTATAACGTCATATAATTTCGTTCGATTAGTGCATTTAAATAATTTTCCCAAAATAGCATCTAGACGCGTTCAGTCGTTCAGAGCGATTAAGTATTATTTTTTCCCCCCACTGTCGAAGGAGGGTAATGGTTTACGAGCGTACGTATGTACGTTTATTTGTTTAGCACACACTGTAGTCTAAATGGTTTGACAGATGCATAATATTAACGTAATATTATGAAGTTATTAAATTCGTCTTAATTGTGAAACTGTCTTAGGGTAGGTATACAATTTAAATATAGTGTTCGTGAAAAAGAACTATCGAATTTATTAGAATATTATTACCTACTTTTTTTTAAATACTTTTTTCTTTTATTGTGTGAAAATATAGTGCTTTAAAAAACAATAATTTTGATAGTCTAAAAATAGTTGTCAGGCAATAAGTATTGCTTCAGCTTTTAAATATAAGTCGTGTTTAACGCGTAAAATCATACCATTCGACGGGCCGTACCTATCTAAAATACACGCGTGGATTTATTCGCACGATAAAAATAACTATAGAATAAAATTGATTTAAGGTACAAGTTATTAAAATAGAATATTTATAAAAATTTCATATATTTTATTAGATGCTCGTATTATTTTTATAATAATTAATTATAATGTAAAAACTCAAAAAAAAAATACAATAAAATATAATAATCCAAATAAAGATAGGTACATCAAATTGAATAGATTGTAAACTATTACCACAACAGTTTGATGTATAAGAAAGATGTAATAAAAACATTTCAAAAATTATGTATCAAACATCTCACACCTTTCTTATGAAGAATTAGCATCTAAAAAATATTCAAGATTTATCTGAACATATAATATTATTTACGATAATTATTAAAGTAATTCGATTACATACCTATAATATATGTATTTTCGTTTGAATTTGTACATTTTATTGTGGGGTTTTTTTTTTCATTTATTTGAATGCTTACATTATAATTGATTATAATAACACATTAGTTTAAACTTCGCATAACAGAGTATAATATTATTTACGTTTGGTAGTTAAAATGGTTTTTTTATTTTTTGTTATTCTTATAAACTACCCTGAAACAAATTTTAATACTTTGAAAATAATATGAGCATCTAAAGAAATGTATAACTTTTTTACAAATATACTTTAAAAACTTGCATCTAAAATCAATTGGTCTTTATAGTTATTTTAATCATGCGAAGTAAATACCACGCGTGTATTTTAGATGCAGCCTATCCGACGGTGTGATTTAATGGCATTACACGTAAAACATGACTTATATTTAAACAAGGAAGCAATGTTGTCGACAACAATTTTTAGATCAGCGAAATTATTATTTTATAAAGCACTATATATTTATATTTTCAAATAATATAAAAAAAAAACCGTTTTGGTTTTTTTAATTTTATATTTCAGTTAGTTAAGGCCCGGTGTAACGGGTGAATGTAACGGGTCAGGCAAATGTAACTGAAGTGACTTAGATTAGCCCGACGTCACATTCGCCTGTTAATCCGGGAAAATGCGACGTCGGGCAAATCCGACTCCGCGGCAATCGAGTTAAATTGTATTTATGTTAAAAAATAAATAAAATCCAATTTCTTTTAAATTTTTTTACTTCACAATACAGGTATTTTATATTGCATTGATGTATAAGCATTTTAAATTTCTATTTTTGGCAATACAAATTTAAACTAGATCGATTTTATTTATTGTATTTAAACGGTAAATCGCATTAATTACTCAATTAGCGCCGTAGGTATTTATTTTAATTCCTCCGGTAGCCTGTATTTCTGTTCGCTAGCATCTAAATGATAATGAGATACTAACTGATGGAATTTTGAACTCAGCCACGCAAAGCAGGTTAAAATCGTATGGAAATACATGTTTAATATAGTTCGAGTATATAGTGATTTGAATTTTGTCCGCGCGGTCATTTATCTAGCCGCGCGATCTTTATTGATTCCTACGTACGCGTCAGGAGACGCGCGGCTTAACGGCACTAAAATAATTAGGCACGTACACGCAGTTGTATCAAGGCCTCTGTTTGGTTAGTTTGAAGGTACTTGTATATTCATAGAAGTGTGTTCTAAAATATTATTATTGTTATTAGTTTGTTATTAACCATGTTCTTAACAAAAAACACCAAAAATGTATTTTAAAATTACTTCTATTACAACAAGTAGAAGAAGAACAGACAATTATAAAATACGTTCTGACAAAAAATAAAAATGAAATGCATGAAATGTACTTAGCCAGGGAAGCTGAAGGATTTTTCGGTGTCCTGATTAAAAAAAGTTTACGGCGAGACGAAATCAAATTCAGGGAATTGTTCAGATTAAGCCGGGATCAATTTGATTATGTATCGAACCTAGTTGAGGGAGACATAAAAACCAACCCAAGCATCAAAATTATAAAACCAATAACTGCTGCTGAAAAACTAGCAGTCACGCTGGGTTGATGTGAAAAAAATTAATATATTAGCTATTAACCGCGCGACCGATGAGCGCGGCGGCCGCGGTCATAGGAATCGGTTATATTTAAAAACAAGTAAAGTAATACATGCACGGCTAAAAGTAAATCGCGCCGCGTCGGCCGCGCGTCTCTGGACGCGTGCATGGGAATCACACGTTCAGAAATAAACTGAATTATTGAAAACAATAATAACGGTGACAACTGCGTTAAAAAATATGAAACGAAAAGTAAAAAACTAATTCTATAATTTATAGATATTTTGTAAGAGCGACATGTAACGCACCATGCGATGGTTATATGTTCGCTGCCTCTTAACAGTGGCGAATTGTGCCACCGGGAGACCGGAAAATTTCCCGGTGAGCCGGAGCCCGGTCATCACTCCATCACCGGCCCTATCATCATAAAACTAATTTTTTTTCTCAAAATTATTCTTTTTTTTATTTTTAAGAATATCATTTTTCGGTAAAAAATGTTTTTTTATTACCTGTGGCGTATTGTGCGTGCGTCCTTGATGGTAAGGAGAAAAACGTTCGAGATTTAAGATAATATATGATTGCCTGACGAACTATGACAAAGTGGTTAAATGTGTCGTGGCCACAGGTATATAAAATAAATAATTGGGCCAGTGAAACAAAATTCTTCCGGGTTAAATTTAAAAATCCGCCGGACCATTACACACGAGCGATATTACATCGTACGATTTATTTATGGTTAGAAAATATTATCATATGATATTTGAAACTGTATGTTTATAAATAGAGCTGTTCACGCGATTACGATAAGATAATCATCCGATGCCTCGAAAACTGTCGGATACTTTAATGAATTGACGAATAAGAATATCAAAAATAGTTTTTTCTACACGCATGAAAATAAATTGATAATAACACACGAACGATAATGTCGTTCGAAAAACCGAAAAACAAATTTAGTACCATGTCGTTTTGTATTACTAATTATTCTCAGTGTCCATGAGTTCAAAAAAGTCTCAAAAATCCATGAAATAATAGGTAAAAAATATTGTATACGATTTTTTTTTTTTTTTTTGTTTACTTAATAGTTATTTTTTCAGATTAGATACATAATACATTTTTACAAAGATTTAAATCTTTTTTTTAACTTTATTTTTTCATTTATTAGTAAAATGGTAATATTTGTTGCTAACAAGATATTAAAAATATTATATTTATCTCAAAGTGAGTGCCAATTTTTCAGCGGGAGTGATAGATTTCCACATATTTATGTCCATTTTTGTAAATTTTTGTCCAAAGGATGTTGTAATTAGTTCATCAAATGCATAAACTGACATACGGAAATAATAAAAAAATATTCTCGGATCTCTTCTGAGACCGTGAAAATTTATTGTAAACGCAGTAAAAACGTGTATTTAATAAGGGATAAGCCTGACATTTTCGGTTTTTCTGTTTAT